ATCGGGGGCAATTGTAACACTGTGTTACAATTGCCCCCATGTAAATTTCCCTTGTGTTAGGATAATGAAGCAAATTATGATGAAGGTTTTATGTTAGTTCTTTACTAGTTTTATCATAGCAGAACATGTTCAGTGTAATGTTGATAGTATCAGCCCTCGGGTGACACATTTTGGTGTTAGTCTTTGTATTATATTTTGGGCATACCAATACAAGAATTTTAAACCAAAAACATTTTAAATGTCGATGGTGATAAAGGTTTCATGTAAATCCATGTTCACCTCAATTGATCAAGATAACATCTTTTCACATTTTATTTTGATTTTATTTGGAAAATAAACAGATTGTTACATTTGAACCTTCTTTGTTACAATTGCCCCATCCGCCTGTTACAATTGCCCCGTGCTAGGGGTCTATTGTAAAACTTGCAGTCATTGCATTTGATACGTAATAACTTTGTAACGACATGATAGTGAACTTTAAATGACACTGAGGTTTAAAACCAAGATGCCAATGTACTAGTTAGTACCGACTAACTTTTATCGAATTACAAGACGTTAAGTAAAAAGTGTTACAATTGACCCCGGTCTGCCCTATTCTCCGTGGGTTTATACATACGTGGTTTAAGGTGCTGATCACTTCTGTATCGAAATTCTATCAAATTCTATCATATTCAGAAGTTAAATCATACTACGTGGTCGTGATGTTTGTGGCTGATGAGTTACGAGCCACGACCTGACAAATGACCCCAATTTGCATACATGGAAACGCCCCCTTTCAGAACATTCCATTTGAAAAATGAGGTAAACAGGTTGTCGTCTAAAACTTGAAAAGTTCACTTTCCTCGTGCGAATCGTGTTTTGATTGTTATATCATACTAAGTATGTGTACAGCTAAGATCCTTAGAAACTGAACCAAGACAAATATAACTTTATTTACAAAACATCCCACACAAGTGCTAGAGAAAAGAACATTGGTTATGTTTACAAACGGATGTATAATTGGCATATATTCTGGTGCATCCTCTCCACACGGGTCAAATACCGAATAGATCAATTTAGGAATTTGCTGTTTGAGGCGTACTTCGGACCTTAGTCGTCACTGAATCGGCCTCGGTGATCGAATCACGTGCCAGTCCTACTTCGATCACGATTCTGTCCATTTCTTTTTCTACTGCAATTTCCCGTTGCCAGTAGCCATCTTCAGTGGTTTTAACATGTTTACAACATTCGGACCATTCCTTGGCACCGATTGCCGACATTCTCTCGTTTATGGCAACTCTTAGGGAAGTTTTTGTGAACTGCAAGTTTTGTTTAGCAACATATTTTTTTACATTGGCCCAAATCAACTCAATTGGGTTCAATTCTGCGTGGTAAGGAGGAAGACGTAGTACATCTTGGCCATGTTGTTTCAACATAGTGTCTACTCTATAGACAGGGCCCGATTTGTTGGATTTTGCCAGACACAACAGTTCGGCTTTGAGCCATTTTATCTTTGTAACCAAGCTTTGATATCATCATTTCTGTTAGCCGTTGTTGGACATTTGTCCACTTGCTTGCTGTGGTATGGCGCATTATCCATAACAATGACGGAGTGGGGTGGAATGTGTGGGATCAATTTTTACTGCAGCCGTTTGGAAAAATAATCAAAATTCACCTGGTCATGATAATCTGCTGATTGAGCTTTGAGTCAAATACAAGTAAAGCATTTGGTACAAAACCGTTTCGGACGCTGCATTAACAACAATGAGCCGAGGTCCGGTACCGGACGGAGGCTGAACCCCATTTATCACAACCTCCCCATCAAGCTGCCAACATTTTGGGACAATGTGGTGTACATGCAACCATGTTTCATTGATAAAGATGATTGTTCGATTGTCATCTCGACATTTGTTGTTGCACGTAAGTATTGCATGCGATTTGCAACGATGTCTTTTCGTTCCATTAAAACCTTACGATTTTACTGCGTTTTTCACCACCTAAACCACATGTCTTTCGGATTTTTTCGTAAACTTTCCGTTGAACCCTGGTAATGCAATTGGCTTCTTGCCATATCATATATCATACCTATAGTAGGCGGTCAAAATCATCAAGTTTGTGCCTGGAAGTGTTGGGTTTGCGCAACTTGGTTGGACTAATAAAAGTAGGCCTACTCGCACCCCTGTCATCTTCCGCTTTAATACGTTTTAAAGTTACCTTGGGAAGACCAGTAGCAAGGCTACTTTTTGACATAGTGTCTACTTTGGTTACACACGTCTTTTCTAGATAAATAATAACATTGTAGGCTATCTCCCTGGCCTGAGAATGAACAATTTGCCCATGCTTCCCTAACTTGGACATGTTAAATTAATTAAAATCTGCAAACATTCAAAAATTTACTCGTGTCGAGATGGTGTCTTGCTGAACTAAATCGCGCTTCGAGACACGTGTTAAACAGAAGCGGTATTGAGTTCACGCCACGGTCAGCATGTCTTTCACGTGCTTAATCGCCAGTGTACCTGTAGCAACCAAGTGTGTTCGTCTAGATTCCCTGCCCCGCCTACTTGTCACAAACGCGAGTACTGCGCAGGCTCATCTAATATGAGTCGAGCAGTAGGTGAACTTCACTATACGATGATCTGTTGTGAATCTAATTTACTATTACGGGTACAATGTGTGAAGCCCATTTCTGGTGTCCCCCCGCCGTGATATTGCAAGAATATTGCTAAAAGCGATGTAAAAGCACACTCGCTCGCTCGCTCACTCACTCACTCATGTGCCATTTTATTATACTCAGATTCTATTCCCCTCATGGGTACAAATTGAAGTGTTGGAACAATTAGTTCTCGAGATATTTGCTGTCAAACTTTGAACTTTTGGAATTAATTTTGAATTATCTCCCCTTTGCTATTGCAGAGATTTTTAAGGGGAATATCTTCACCTCGGTGGGCATCTGTGTGATTTTTTGTAAGCGATTCGGAGCATTGGTTTAGGAGGTATGTTTGGTACAAAAATTGGCGGAATAATAAATAATAATAATCCGAACGATTACAATAGGTCTCCTGCCTAGAGGCAAGGAGCCCTAAAAATAAAAGCCGTTGAGAATATTACTTTATGCAGCATGTCGTTCCGGTGTGCACTGTCCAGGCAATATTTTGTGATCTGTTTCATTTGGGTGTTATTTTGTAAAATTGACCTTTCCCAATCTAGGTGGTAAAGCAGGTCTGTGACTGGCTCATGAATTCACGGGATTTGTTGACATTTACATTTTTTGTGTATTTCTTTCTAATTGCTTGTATAAATTGTTACATTCTAATTTCAGTTTGCTTTGTTTGTGATCAGTTTGGTGTTTGTTGTTTAAGGCCGCTCTCAACAATATTCCAGTTATATGGCGGCGGTCTCTAAAACATCGAGTCAGGACCAGACAATCCAGTGATCAACAATAGTCCAGTTATATGGCGGCGGTCTCTAAAACATCGAGTCAGGACCAGACAATCCAGTGATCAACAATAGTCCAGTTATATGGCGGCGGTCTCTAAAACATCGAGTCAGGACCAGACAATCCAGTGATCAACAATAGTCCAGTTATATGGCGGCGGTCTCTAAAACATCGAGTCAGGACCAGACAATCCAGTGATCAACAATAGTCCAGTTATATGGCGGCGGTCTCTAAAACATCGAGTCAGGACCAGACAATCCAGTGATCAACAATATTCCAGTTATATGGCGGCGGTCTCTAAAACATCGAGTCAGGACCAGACAATCCAGTGATCAACAATATTCCCGTTATATGGCGGCGGTCTCTAAAACATCGAGTCAGGACCAGACAATCCAGTGATCAACAATATTCCAGTTATATGGCGGCGGTCTCTAAAACATCGAGTCAGGACCAGACAATCCAGTGATCAACAATATTCCAGTTACTAGTATATGGCGGCGGTCTCTAAAACATCGAGTCAGGACCAGACAATCCAGTGATCAACAATATTCCAGTTATATGGCGGCGGTCTCTAAAACATCGAGTCAGGACCAGACAATTCAGTGATCAACAATATTCCAGTTATATGGCGGCGGTCTCTAAAACATCGAGTCACGACCAGACAATCCAGTGATCAACAATATTCCAGTTATATGGCGGCGGTCTCTAAAACATCGAGTCAGGACCAGACAATCCAGTGATCAACAGCATGAGCGTCGTTTCAAGCAACTGGAAACGATGACATGTGACCAACCAAGTCAACGAGCCTGACAACCCGATTCCGTTAGTCGCCTCTTACGACAAGCATGGGTCACTGAAGACCAATTTTAACCCACAGATGTTCATCTAGGCCCTGCGAAGAGATTCTGGCTAGGCAAGTCCCCCTCAGAACACGAAAGCCTTTTTTAACACACGCATTCGTCTTGTTTGGTGGATGCCGGTGAAACACAATCGTCACGATCCTGGGATTCGAAGCTATCAGAGATTTCCCAATGAACGAACGGACCAATGAATGAATGAAACAAAAGACACCGACAGGAAATGTAAAACCGCAGAAAGAAAAGTAACACACACAATATGCAGAATTTTTTTGTGTTGTGAAATGACGTCACTGTACCGATCGTGGATTATGGCGTCATTGATTTGTGACGTCATAACTTATGGGAACCATACACTTTTCGCTTCTAGAAATTTTCTACCTTAGAAGATAACATTCATGCTACATGGACTTAGTAAAGAAAGTCCGTGACAGCATCTGAGGCGTAGACTCGTTAATGTTCTAATGTATTTCATGGACAATATTTACAATCTCGTGTGACGTGATTGATACAAGATGGACAGCACTTGGAGATGTTTGTGACGTCACGCCATTGTTGATGCGGACTTTCTGCCAACACGACGTTCTATCTCGCATCTCACTATGAAGATTGAAATCGTCGAATCCAAGACATCGCCTTCACTCAAGTGTTGGAGTGGGGCTCCGGAAAGTTCGTTTGTCGCATTTTACGATGGTATCGTATCCAGCGCTGTAAAATTCTTACCAGGAATGGCGAACCAGAAGTCAACCAGCGCATGGAATCGGGAAGAACTGGAAAGTCTCCATGTAACATTCAACCAAAGGAGCGCTGCCAGGACAACTGCAATCATGCCAGGTATTGTACAACACCTGAAGCCTCAACCGTTACGACACGTGCATCTGCAAGGATTCAAGAATATGGAAAGTATATGCAACGAAGAGTTCCTGTCAATGGCACGTACGTTAGTTCTTGATTATAAAGGCTTTCTGGAGGACCAACTCTCAAGACTTCTGAACCTGGCTCTACTCAAGCGTGAGCACAGTCTATCTACCGCCTACAACCTAGCTATGTTAGCCACAATGGGCCCAAGTGAGGTCGAATCTCTGGTATGCAATACCTCAAACTCACGGTATCTGGCTGGACACAAGAACGGATTCCCCTTCGTCGCATTTTACGATGGGGCCGCAAACACGGCTGTTATATTCTTAGCAGGAGCTGTTGACCAGATAAACGGCTTGGCAACAAGCTCAAGAATGAAGGAAAGACCATTTGTTGCTCTTTACGATGGGATGGTAGCCACTGCTCAGATATTTTTACCAGGAGCTGTAGAGCAAGCATATGCTCTGGCTCCAAGCAATGGACTTAAAGCAGGACGCTTGAGACGCTCGTATGTCGCGTGTTACGAAGGCGAGGCAGCCTTTGCACGTGCACTAATGCCAGTTAATGCACAACTGAAGCCTCGCCCATTGCGACATGTGCCACTGGTCGGATTCAAAAGTATGGAAAGTGCGTCTATGACATACAACGAAGAGTTCTTGTCCACGGTTCGGACACTGGTGCTTGATTATAGAGACTTTCTGCAGGACCAACTCTCAAGCCTTCTGAACCTGGCCATTCTCAAGCACGAACAAAGTTTGTCTACAGCCTACAACCAAGCAATGTTAGCCACAATGGGCCCACGTGAGATTAATCGTCTGGTGATCCCGTCCTCAAACCCACGGTATATGGCTGGACCCAACAAAGGACTTCCCTTCGTTGCATTTTACAATGGGACTGCAAATACGGCTGTTATATTTTTACCAGGAGCTGTTGACCAGATAAACGGCTTCACAACAAGCTCAAGAAAGAAGGTAGGGCCATTTGCTGCTTTTTACGACGGGATTGAAGCCACTGCTCAGATATCCTTGCAAGGAGCTGTAGAACAAACATGTGCCCTGACCACACGCAATGGAAGTAAGACAGGACTCTGGAGACGCTCGTATGTTGCTCTCTCCGAAATAAGGGCCGCCTCTGCAAGTGCCCTAATGCTAGGTAATGCTCAACACCTGAAGCCTCAGCCATTAAGACACGTGCAACTGGTAGGGTCCAAGAATTATGAAAGTCCATATAACGAAGAGTTCTTGTCCATGGTACGTACATTAGTGCTTGATTATAGAGAATTTCTGGAGGACCAACTCTCAAGCCTTCTGAACCTGGCTCATCTCAAGCGTGAACACAATCTGTCTGTAGCCTACAACCAAGCAATGTTAGCCACAATGGGCCCAGCTGAGGTTGAATCTTTGGTGAGCGCTCCCTCAAACCCACGATATCTGGCGAGACTCCCCTTCATCGCATTTTACGAAGAGGTCGTAGCTACGGCAGTGGTGTTCTTGTCTCGTCATGTGACAATCCCGCCGTCCCGGCCATCTACCCCACGGAAGTCAACTCGAATGGAGACTAAACCAAGCCAAGATATTGTACATAATGACGGAATCGTAGCCACAGCACACATTTTTCTACCATTCCTCCAGAAAAAGAGACAATCGGATGTTCAGATCATAAACCCAAGACCGCTAGTTCGACCTAAGTGGAGTTGGGTTGAAAAATGTCGTCTGCTCAAAGACAAACTGGACGGACTTCCACTAAGGTACAAACCCCGTACCGCCAAGTACATCACCTTCGAGGAGAAAGAAATTGTAAGTATCCATTTATCACTATAAGTGCCTGGAAATATGTGTTTGCGCGACAATGTTGAATATATAAGAAAACACGGCGGTATTATTAAGTATAGTATATTAAGTCTTAAGTCTTGTCCCCGAGTACTGAAAAATATGAACACTGAGGGACACTTTGGACCTGCCTGTCCAACAAAACCCCACACCCACACTCCCTCACGGAGGTGCGCATACACAAACACACGCACATACACCATAAATATGTAAAAAAAGTCGCTCTCTGTATTATCAGTGAATGGTCTCTGTTGTTCATGAAGTCAGTTGTATGTGTGGCATCAGTTTTAGTTTGAAAGTTTAATTCGATAAGATTCCCGTTCAAAGTTTGAACACATACAGATATTCAGTATTACAGTAGACCCGTGAAGGTCCGGGTTAGAATGAACCTTCAGTAACCCATGCTTGTCGTATAAGAGGCAACTAACGGGATCAGGTGGTCAGGCTCGCTTGCTTGGTTGACATATGTCATCGGTTCCCATTTGCGCAGGTCGATGCTCATGCTGTTGATCACTGGATTGTCTGGTCCAGACTCGATTATTTACAGACCGCCGCCATTTGGCTGGAATATTTGCGGCGTAATATTTAACTCACACACTCAGTATTATAGTAACAAATAAACGCCATCAAAATAAGTAAAACATGTCTAGGACAAGGAGGAGCAAGTTTCGCGATTGATTTCAGCAATATACGGTTATTATGATTAAATTTCATCGACAATGGTACCTTCTTTGAAATAATAACTAGCTCAAATTTCAATGTTATATTTGAAGATAAGCACATGGCCTATTCGACACAAGCTGAGCATCTAAACGCAGAAACATACGGTCTAACTGCAGTTTTCACAATAAACAAATGGCAGTCCTTCCCTGTATATTATACCCAATACGTATCAACATTGGCTCAGGTAAAGTGTTGCATGCATGGTGTGTTTCATATCAAAGACTTAGCGCCTCTAGGACGTCTTTGCTAAACAATGGGAATTCAAATTTACGTTGAAGACAAGATGAACTTCTTGTATGCATGAATATAGTAACAGCCTGTTTTTGCCCACAATACTATACAACAAAATATTGCATGATATGTTCCTCTCTTCACATAGGACACCCGGCAGCGTATCCTCAACACCATCCCCTCCCTGAAGACTGTCTCCCCTGGGAGCTGTCTGGCCCAGAGTCCACTCACACCCTTCTACTCTCTTGAGGACACATACCCTGACATGGTCTCTGCCACCTTAACGGACCTGGCCACTCAACACATGAAGTACTTCAGGGCAAGTCCCAGCAGGGCACCAGGTCGACGGGCTGGTCGAACTCAAATCCAGATCTTGGAAGACCTGTACTGGGAAATGCTGAGGAAGATGGGTGCACCGGAGACAGCAGACGAGATTGCTTGCAGACGACAGCAGGAGATATGTTTCACTAGGAAACTCTGGTATGGGTCTGTCATCAAGAGGACCAAACTCAAATCCGATCATAAGGGCAAGTCAATGTTGAACACCAGAGCTGCCCAGCTGAACGACACAGCTTGTCTTAACACAAATAACAACGGTTACACCAAAGAAGAAGGTGACTGTGATCGTGACACTACCGACTCTTCTGTCTTTGGGTCCAAGTCGGACCAGGGGTTCTCCATAGGTCAGGATCTTGCCAGGAAGAAACCAAGGCACAGCTACCTGAACAAACGCCACTCTGATGGCTATAGATCTCGTAACAGGGGACCAGCGGGTGTGGGCGGAACATATGCTGATTTTCACAAAACGCATTTGGAGCCAGCACAACATGACTCCGGGATGGACACGGGCCAGTTCGCAGATTCACCGCTGCTGCAGTGCCAGAGCAAAGACTCAAACTTTGCACAAAGAGGACCAGACAAAACCTTCAATCCACCTGATCGTGGTTTGGGTCGGATGTCTTTAGCTACACATGAGCCTTCTACTCTGAGACATGGTGGAAAGTTCTTTGAAGAGGCTTTGTTCCAGAAGGGTACCCTTGAGGATGATGCTATTAATCTCAAAGAGTTGTTCAAAGACGTGTCAAACTTTGATTCCCTCAGTGATGTTCCAGAATCCATCTTGCAGAGAGTTCTCCTTCTAACATGCAAACCATTTCTTAAAGATGGATACAGCAGTGGCTTGTCTTTCCTGTCAAACCTCATAGAGAGCCCTGAGTGTAGTCCTGTACAACCTATCCAGAACCTGGAACACTGTACGGGTCAGTGCACATCAGCAGGAAGTGCTGCAGTAAGTCCCACAGACTCTTCAACAGAGGAGGACGAGGACAACACTATCCAGAAGCAAAGAGACGCACTGTACAGAGAGACCTGTGGTATGAGGTAGGTGTTTTGTGAATGCATTGGAGTAGGTGTTGTTGTGAATACATTGGAATATTGTTTGATGAAAAGTAATGCGTGATATGTGTATGATGTTGTGATGCTATTCAAGTCAAGGTATAAGTTGCGTTCTATGCGTTAATAAGGCCTAGGTTATCACACCTATTCCTCATTTCAGACTTGAACAGTTTCCAGTGTTTGAGGCTAAATCTACCCATGATGACGACTTCATGGGAGACCTTTCCTTTACTGACAACAGTCCAGACGATAGGTACGTGACATTGAATAGTGAACTACTTGATTATAAATCAACATATTGTTACCAGTAACATTGCAGTGATTAATGACGTGATCACATCATGACTTTGGCTTTGATGTTTCAGGGCTGAGTCTCCACGTTCCTTCCTGCACGATGAATTCATCCACGAGGATGACGTCCTGGACATTCCTACCTTGAGCATCCTGTCTCCCTCTCGAGCCTCTCTCGGACAAGCCTATCACAGTGATCATGGAATCACTTCTCTCTGCACCCTAGACCACGATGAGTACAAACCAGCCAGCCATGAACCCTTTCCTTCTGAGTACGTCTTCAAGAGGGCGTGTGGACGTTCCTTTAGAGTGTCTTCGGAATTCTGGCACATACAAATCCCAACTCTCCCGTCAGACATGGTCGACTACAAAGTGGAATCAGATGGTCTCACTGAAATAGTTATCGGGTCAGGAGGTTTTGGGGACGTATATGCAGCAACGTTAATGGTGTCCCCTGGCCAGAGTAGAGACGTGGTGGTTAAAGAACACTTCACGGACAAGACAACACAGGAGTCCATCGCTAATGAGGCAAAGATCACCATGTACCTTGAGTCCACAGGCTGCGTCCCTATCTGTTATGGACTATTGAGTGACGAGGAGGATGGCTACAACATCGTGATGGAGTATGTTGGAACAGGACAAACACTTTATGATGTAATGCGCGAGTTGGAATTGCCAAGATTACACTGGCTGAATATTGTGTGCCAGCTCGTCAGTGGACTGAATAAAATCCACAAGAAAGATGTTCTCATCAATGACATCAAGTCAGACAATATACTTGTGGACATGTCTGGAGAACTGCCCTTGGTCAAGTTCTGTGACATGGGAACAGCGTCATACAAATCAGGGGTAACCTACAGAGGGGACATGAAGAATTGTGTACATCTAGCTCCTGAGGCCTGTGCTCACGCTGAGACAACCGCTGCATGTGATGTATTCAGTCTTGGCAGAGTCCTGAAGAAGATCCATGGCGTTTCCCATATCTCAACCTTGTTGGTACTTTCTGACCTGTGTATGGCTGAGGAGCCATCCAGTCGTCCCACTCTCGAGGCTGCAAACCAGCTGTTGCAGGGGGAGTACACCAGGGAGATCATGTTCCCCACACTGACCGTGCCATCACACGGCTACCTTGACTGCATTGATGAGGAATCACAGGAAGAAACTCCCGGGTCTATACTCAGAGTTAACACACCAGTCGACACTGACCTGCCTACACCTGCAGGTCCTGGTACAGCTGAAGTTAGTGGTGCTGTCTCAGGTGATAGTAAATCAGGCAGTTGCAGCCAAAGAAGCAGCAGGAGTGGCAAAGTCTCGCCATCAAATGACAAGGCCTCGGTCACAACGATAAGTAAACATGAATTGGGCACATCATTAGCTGCTGCTGATCCTGCTGAGATCCAGGACATCTATTCCATTTCCATCGATCATGTGCTATACATCCAGGGCACTGGATCATCTCATAGACACACCGTATCAAAAATGAACATGACAAAAGGCGTCGATTCCTCTGCTGAGATCACAGATACATCTATTGTTGCTTCCAAGTCTGCACAAAAACAAACGGAAACAGTGGTTAACAATACTAGTGGTGATCTAGCCAAGTCTGCACAAAGTGGACGTGCACATACAGTTAACATTGTGGATGTTGCCACTTCCAGGTCTGTACAACATGGAAATGGAAGTTTGGACACTATACCACCAGAGGGAACTTGTGAACTCCCCTGCCTTTAGTTCGCCAAATGGATCGTATGGGTTCTACGCGCCACCTGTGCCTCCATCTTCTCCTGCATCATCATGTGCATCTTGCCACCTCCACCCGACATCTTCATCCATGGAACTGTCCCTTGCTGCTATCTCACCCAAGTTTGCCGTTACCATGGAAACTCTCGACACTGCATCTAGTGAACATCAAACATCCCCAAGTCATACTTACCATGCTACATCCGAGACGTTTGTTGATGCTCTCGAGGATCACCTTGATGCTGATGCCGACCCTGAGGGTCATCATACTGATGTTGATGTTAACGAGGCTGCTGTCGTTGATGTGGACGGGAACCCTACTTCTCCCAGCCTGGAAGCTCTCCACGTGGCGGAGTACCGCGTTCTGTGCCAAGCAGAGCTGGAGGTGTACAACAAGTACTGTGAGGACACATCAGTGTACGAGAATTATCTGCCCCTGGTCCTGCCGCTGTTGATGCTCCCCCTTGGATTCTTTGGATTCATATAGACTTTGGATCGGGTTTGGACATTTTTATAAGGAGAACATTTATTTATTTGAGTGTGTGTGATTTAAGTCCAGAGGAAACGTGATGTGATACATATTTCTTATTGCAGTTGTGATGTATGCGTATTGCCTTATACGTATTTGAAATCCAGTCACAATGAAAACATGAAAATATGTTTGAAAAGGTCATTGTGGATCTAACTTATTAACTTTCATCTAATATGGCTTTTCAAATGATAAAAATTGTTGAAAATTGTCCACAAAAATGCATTTTATGTTATTTGAACGTCTGTGATTCCCTATCCGGTGATTTATGCCTGGAAACATCTGTGATAATTTGTTGTATACATGTACACTGTATAAATGTATGGATATTTTACAACTTGAATACAATGCTCATCTGTTTTGAATGTTATACTGCTATTTTGCTATTTTTATTGTTTTATGAATCTTCTCCTGTGACAAACCATATGTTTTCGGACCGCCTCCGTGGTGTAGTGGTAAGAGCGTCCGCCCGGAGAGCGGAAGGTCGCGGGTTCGATCCCCGACCGCGTCATACCAAAAGACGTTAACATATGGTACTTGTTGGTCCCTGCCGGGCGCTCGGCATTAGTGGGTACAACAAGGACTGGTCGGCTCAGAGTCAGTATAATGTGTCGGAGTGGGGTATTCATGCTTCACTGCGGCATGGTATCTCAGTGGGCTAGCACTATAAAACCAGCTTAAGTCTGGGCTAGTACAAGCAGCCGCACATACACATACACACGCATGCACGTCGTCATATGAGCGAAATATTCTCAAGCACGACGTAAAACCCAATTTCACCTCACCTCACCTCACCTCACCATATGTTTTCGAATACACCGATCTTTACCTTATTCAAACTTTGTGTCATGTTGTTTACCTCCATAGGTACTACTGACATAGCTGTTGTGGGCTCCTAGCGGCAATACACCCGTGAAGATCCGGGTTAGAATTAGTCTTCAGCAACCCATCCTTGTCCTAAGAGGCGACTAATCGGGTGGTCGGGCTCGCTGACATGACGTCGTATCGCAGTTGCGTAGATCGATGTTCATGCTGTTGAGACCGCTGCTATATAGCTGGAATATTGTTTGCAAGCCATGGGCTCCGATCATTATATCAACCACTTATTATTGGTCTAGCCATGATTGTGTATATGCTTCCGTCATTAACCTGCACTATACATATATATTGCTGACCGCAATTTTAGATAACAAACAGATAAACAAAGTTGCTACAAATTGCACAAACAACTGTCAGTGAGGTGAGGTGAGGTGAGGTGAAATTGGGTTTAACGTCGTTCTTGAGAATATTTCGCTCATATGACGACGTGCATGCGTGTGTATGTGTATTTGCGGCTGCTTGTACTAGCCCAGACTGAAGCTGGTTTTATAGTGCTAGCCCACTGAGATACCATGCCGCAGTGAAGCATGAATACCCCACTCAGACACATTATACTGACTCCGAGCCGATCAGTCCTTGTTGTACCCATTAATGCCGAGCGTCAGGCGGGGACCAACACGTACCATATTTTAACGTCTTTTGGTATGACGCGGTCGGGGATCGAACCCGCGACGTTCCGACAAGTGTCAGTCTAACACCTGCATGATCAAACAAGAACAAACGTAACGCTGGGGTAACAATTGCACAAACAATCCCCAAACCGTTTGGGTACCACTGACACTTAGTCTAATAAACGTCAGAGTAACACTTGTACATTGGTAATACTATTTCTTAAAGTTGTAAAATCTTCGTTTTTGTTTGAAATGTATAAGTGAATGTTTTACAAACTTTCTTAACAGTATGGAGAAACACATCAGACCACTGAAATGTCAGTATTACGTTCTTTCACGTCCGATACATTTTGTTACAAATGGCATTTTTTTTATTCAGATTGTCAACATCGAAATCCACCTGCCACTTAATGTCAATGATTTGCACGTGCAAGTCACTCTATTCATGGAAAGTGGAGGACAATACACATGCGTTGCTGCTTTTCACTATCGTTCACTCTTCAGGTACCTGTTTGAAATCGCAGCTTAAAATGAGACGTTTTTTGACACTTGCTGAAGGGGGCCAGGCTGTGGGCCTTTTGGAATCTGGTCAAACTCAGCTGCAGGTTGCTGTCCACTGCTATTGGTAGACTGCGGCAGAGATTTCAAACCAATGGGTCCGTGGAATATGCACTTCGAGTCACAACAGTCCGAGATGATAGACACATGATCAATACTGCGTTACGTTACAGATTCCTTAACGCTGCAGATCTTCAGACAGAACACTTCGATGTTAACATTGTAAGGATATCCAGGAACACCGACGTTTAAGGGCAGCCGGATTCCGCTGTAGGCGACCTGCAGATGCAACCTGCGACCATAGATGCAACTGTGGCCACGAAGAACCGATTTGGCGGGTGGTCGGTCATGGTTTGGACAGGAATAACTCCAACTTGACGTACTCCACTGCACGTGGTAGACGGTAATCTTACCGGACAGCGTTATCGGGACAATATTCTGGCTCCTATAACAGTACCATTCCTGCATGCTATGCATGGCTTTTATGGTCGACCCTCTTTACTGCAAGACGACAACGCTGGGCCTCATAGGGCCAGGATTGTCACGGAATTCCATAGGCAGCAGGGTGTAGAGCGGATGGAGTGGCCAGCATGCTCGACAGACCTCAACCCAATTGAGCATGCCGGGGAAGAACTGTATATGTATACTCATGCCAATAATGGTTGTCACCCCTTCATTTTTTTTAATTGGAGAGGGGTGTGAGGTGTGGGGGTTGGGGTGGGGAGGGGCTGACAACGTCTTTGTTGGCATGAGTATATAATGCAGCTCTCTTTGTACCATACAAATATAAATGAAGTTATTTAAAAAAAGAACTATATGAGTTGGAAAGAACCATCTTTTCAATCCCTAAGCGTTGTAAAGTTGGTACCTGGCATACTCTTCTGTACAGCACATTACAAAACAGGTGAAATGAAGATCAACACATCCTACCCAGACCCTAAAGTAAGTATATGATATAAATAAAGGGAACCGACGTAACATCGTTAAAGTATTTACGTTATTTCAACAGTTATTAACATTTCGACCGCCTCCGTGGTGTAGTCGTTAAAGCGTCCGCCCGGAGAGCGGAAGGTCGCGGGTTCGATCTCCGACCGCGTCATACCAAAAGACGTTAAAATATGGTACTTGCTGGTCCCCGTCTGGCGCTCGGCATTAATGGGTACAACAAGGACTGGTCGGCTCGGAGTCAGTATAATGTGTCTGAGTGGGGTATTCATGTTTCACTTGCGGCATGGTATCTCAGTGGGCTAGCACTATAAAACCAGTTTCAGTCTGGGCTAGGACAAGCAGCCGCACATACACGTACACACGCATGCACGTCGTCATATGAGCGAAATATTCTCAAGTACGACGTTAAACCCAATTTCACCTCACCTATTAACATTTCTCGGCAGTTGAAAGTTTTGAGATGATCCGCATATTCTGGTGATCAGGAACTGACTTAACCACGTGGTCCCACTGATTGCTCATTTTCCCAATAATATGGTAGATGTAACACATATTTTGTTGCTCATTATAGGCGAAACGTTTCTGTATACAATGGACTGTTAACATTTAGCAAGTTGATTCTATTGTTATTTGAGACGGGTTGTCCCGAATGAGTTACCTTTTCCTGACGTGCCAACGATAGAAGACCACGATGATACGAGGGGCGTTCATTAAAGATTTCCCCTCACCCACTTGCAGTGGACTTACTGGCACGAAACTTGGCACAGTTATTAGTCCAGCTCTACATAGCAACCACCAAGGGTAACACACTTCTACCATCGTTTTATGCAACTGTAAAGACCTTGCTCAGTAGGTTGCGTATCAAACCATGACTTGACTTCCGAAATCAGTGTTTCATCATCTGGGAAGCGTGTTCCCTTAAACAATGACGTCATAGTTGGAAAGAGAGGGAAATCAGATGGTGCATGGTGTGTGATAAGTCTGCCTGGACATCTTGGCACATGTCCAAAAGAGCCTTTGAGCAACTGACTCGTTCCTGCTTCTGAAAAGGTGTGAGCAACCTGGGATCCATCGTAAACACCTTATGCATGTGCAAATTGTCAAGAATGATATTTTTCCACAGACCCTACACTGAACTTGACATCATGGGCTTACTGGCGAACGTTATACGGCGATCTTCCTAAATGACAGTCTCCACTTGACGGACAGTGTCTTCATCAATGGCTGAATGAGGTCGACCAGGAATGGGAGCAGTTTCCACAGATTTCCGACCACATTTAAACTGGCGATGCCAGTGTTTAACTACGTCATACGATGGGGCATCCTCCCCATAAGTTGCTTTCATTTCATCAAAGGTCTCTTTTGGTGTGCGACCTTTCAAGTACAAAAAGTTGATCACAGCTCGGTACTCAACTGGCTCCACCTCACTTCAATATAACCCTTGTCAAAGAAATAGCTTTAATAGTTCAATGCTGAAATTACCACACGACCCATACATGAAGTTACAGCCACATGTAAAAACCAGAAGTGGGTCAGGGGAAATCTTTAATGAACGCCCCTCGTAGGTATCGTCGTTACTTCAAGTAAACTTCCGGTTCACATCACGTGAAACAAAATGTATCACCTTGAAGAACACTGTCACGGCTCTAAAATAACACACTGACAGTAGAAACCCATCGAGGTTAACAGTTTCTACGTGTTAATGTACGTCACACTGATCAGGAATACCCTTACGCACTGTACCGCCGAAGGCATATTTGTACCGCTCTGAATCTATTTTGCTCAACTCGAAATTTATTATTAATATTATTGAAAGTGGACATTATTTGTGACGCATGTGATATGATAAGGTACATCTTAACGCAGAGAGCAAACGAACTGGTTTTAATAAAGACTGACAGTTCCAATTGCACTGTAAAGATGGCAGAGGTTGGCACTAATACAAGCAGCCACTGGAAAAGA